GGAGGAGGAGGAGGAGGAGGAGGAGGAGGAGGAGCAAGGCTCCCAACTGAGAGCGGTGACGTAGCACGCGCTTGCCAGCAAGGCTCCCAAGAGCGAGCAGTGACGCAACAAACTCTTACCACCAAGGCTCCCAAGAGCGAGCGGCAATGTAAACACCTCTTGGCACGAGGATTCTGAACAGAGAGCGGTGCCGCAACAAGCTCTTCCCAGCAAGGCTCCCAACAGAGAGCGGTGACGTAACACGCGCTTACCAGAAAGACCCCCAAGAAAGAGCGGTGACGCAGCAAGCTCTTACCACCAAAGCTCCCAAGAGCGAAGGGTGCCATGAGCCATCTCGGGCAGGTTGCTGAAGCGCTCTTTCCGTTCCCGTGCCAGCCCAGGTAACGGAAAGAGCGAGGTACGAGCGATGACGTTGTGTGTTGGGCGAAGCCCCTTGAGGGGGGGGTCCAGGGGGGGGCGTACGGGGCGTGGATGAGTTCTAATGGCCGTTTGGGGGTTTTCCCTCGGGCTTTTGCATGTTTTTTTCGGGTTCTCCTTCGAGACGGCCCAAGAGCGCTCCAAGAGAGCCCAAGACCGCCAAAGACGGCCCAAGAGGCCCCCAAGAGGCCCCCAAGAGGCGCCCAAGGGGCGTCCCAAGAGGGCCCCAAGAGGCCAAAATCATCGATTCCCCCGTAGATTTTTTGCACATACGGCTTTTCGCCTTTCACGGCGTTGACGACGGCCCAACAGGCCCCCAAGACCGCCCCAAGACTGCCCAACAGGCTCCCAAGAGGCTCCCCAAACCAGCCCAGAGGACCCCAAGACGGTGCCAGAGGCGCCCAAGACAGCCCAAGAGGGCCCCAAGACGGCCCCAAGAGGGGGACCACAAACCGAAAAGTCTAGCTTATCGCCCCAAGACGCTCCCAGGAGGCCCCAGGAGCCCCCCAAGAAGCCCCAAGAGGCCCCCAAGAGCCGTCCCAAGAGGCCACCAGGAGGCCAAGATGATAGATTTTCTTTTGGAAAGCGTGCATTTTTAGCATGCACGGCTTTGCGGCGCTCACGGCGTTGAAGACGGTCCAAGAGGCCCCCAAGGCCGCCCCAAGACGGCCCAAGAGGGTCCCAAGAGGCCCCCCCAACGGCCCAAGAGGGCGCCAAGACGGCCCAAGAGGCGCCCGAGACGGCCCAAGAGGGCCCAAAGACGGCCCCAAGAGAGGGACCACGAACCCGAAAGTCTAGCCTTTCGCCCCAAGACGCTCCCCGGAGGCCCCCACAGACCCCCAAGAAGCCCCAAGAGGCCCTCAAGAGGCCTCCAAGAGGCCTCCAAAAGGGCTCTACAAGGGCCCCATATAGGACTCCCACGAAGGCCCAGAGACGCCAAATAAAGAGCGATCGGTAAGGCAAAAAGCTCTTCACACCATGGCTCCCAAGAGCGAACGGTGACGTACACAAGCTGATAAGACCAAGGCTCCCAGCAGAGAGCGGTGACGTAACAAGTTCCTGACACCAGGGCCCAGCCAAGGCTGAGGAACGGGCGGCAACGCAACAATCTCTGAACACCACGGCTCCCAAGAGCGAACGGTGACGTAAGAAGCTCTCGACGCCAAGGCTCCCAGTACGAACGGTGGTGTGAGTCGTTCCGGTTTCTGTTGCTGCAGCGCTCTTTCCGCTTCTGTGCCGGGCCAGATCTAGGGGCCTTCGGCCCACCCCGCCACCGCGCCTGGGTTGCAGGTCAGAGGCTTCTTGGATGCCTGTGGGGATCTCTTGGGGGGGGCTCTGGGATGCCACTCGGAGGCGGTTTTGGAATGCCTTGGGGCCTCTTTTGGGCCTCTTCGGGGCCTCTTGGGCCTGCTGGCGGTCTCGGGGATAATCTTAGGACGGAGGGCTCGAAGTATAAGCTCCCCCTCTTGGGGCCGTCTTGGGTCTTTTTGGGCCGTCGTGCGGGCCTCTTAGGGGCATGTTGGACCGTCTTGGGGCGATCTTGGGGGCTACGGGGGCGTCTTGGAGCGTCGGAGGCCCGAAAAGGCGAGACCGCTACAATCCTTCCAACACCTACGGACAATCAATGATTTGGCCTCTTTGGGCTCCCGTGCCCCCCTATAACCAAGACGCTGAACTAAGGGCCACTTTGGGCTCAGGAGGGGTTCTGGTTTTCGGAGCGCTCCTTATATCTAGGTCGAGGCGCGTTGCCAAGGCTCGCCGTTGCAACAAAAGACCCTTCGTTCCTTTCTCAGCGTTCCTTCTGGTAGCACGATGCTTCTGGTGGGTGATTGGATCCCTCCGGCTTGGCTTTGTGTGGATCCCTGAATCTTCCATCCCTACCGGCCATGTCCGCCCCACTTCTTCTGGTCCTGGTTTGGCTTCCTATGAATCCCTGTGGCCTCTGTCCCACTGGCATTGTCTGTTCCATGCGCACGTTGGGTTCCAGACGCATGGGGTTCCGCACGCATGAGTTCCACACACATGAGGCTCCATAAACATGGGGTTCCACACGAATGAGGCTGCCCCACACTTGCAGCGCGAA